GGAAACGCTTTTCTCGTAAGTTTACGAGAACCTTACGAGGAAAAGATGTTTCCTCGTAAAGTCGAAGTAAACTAGTAGTATTTTTACGAGGAAATGTTTTCCTAGTAAATTTTCCTAGTAATGGCTTAGTTTTCTTGTAGTGAATGATTATGATTCGTGGCAAATGTAGTTAATATACTTTAGCATCACACGGTGAAGTTTTCCTGCACAAAGCCGTTAAGAGTATGCCGTTCAGTAAAATAGCTGAACAAAGTAAACCTCTCACTTAAAGAAAAGTTCTCGATGGTGCGAATCTTTCACAGAATCTCTAATTGATGATTCCTTGAACAATCCGAAGTATATGCTATTTAAAGAAACAGTGAAATCGGTAGTTTTGCATTTAAAACGAAAATTGTTGTGAACAATACATAATGTTTTCAAGAAACCTGCAAAATCAATATTTTGAAGAAATACATAAATGTTTTTCAATACATAATGTACCGAATCTGAACGTTACTGCTTAGGATGTTCGAGCTCACTGATCTCTCCGTCTGCGCAGTTTCCGACCCAAATATACATTGTTGTGTTTCTCCTACTCGGCAACACTCTGCAACAATCTCTCCTAGGTGACTGCAACACACGGTTTTATGATTTTAAACACATTACCTAATTCATAGTCTAAAACCAACCGGTTATTTTTCAATAATTTATGCTTAAGAAAACCAGTAATTTCTAGTAGCGGTTCATTCTAAACCAAACCGGTATGCCTGAAATTGATATACAATTTGTGCGACCTGGAAATGAAGGTTTACTAAACCGGTTCATAGTCTAAAAGTAGCCGGTTCTTTTTAAATAATTTATGTTGAAGAAAACCAGTAATTTCTAGTAGCTATGGTTAGAAACTAAAATCAATTTCCGGTTTGGACTAACCTAAACCAAACCGGTATATGAATACTGAAATTGATATATATATTCATGTGGAAACATAATTTTTGGACCTACCTTGTGCCATCGGAGTGGATCAGGTCTCTTCAAAACAACGACGGAATCAATCTTTCCAGGCGAATCAAGCCTCCATCTACATCCAGGAAACCGTCTCGTCTTGTCCAAATTATAGTATCCAATCACTTGGCGACGTCCTTCATCGTACTTAGCCGAGTTAACGTAAAACACAAACGGTCTCTGGCATGGATGTCTCGACACGGGTCTGGTGTTAAACGCGTAGCCAATGTAGTCAGCCCTTCGGAACCAGTTTAGGAACGTTCTCGAAGGCATCTCAAGCTCGCGAGGTGAAATGATGCCTCGGATGATCTGAACAGAGAAGCCCCATGATACAGAGATGGACCAGAACCTGCTCTGGTCGTAGCAGATTGACTGCTGGAATATGCTGGCTGAGTCGAGATCTGCTGATGACATGAGGTGTCGGAGGGCACGTGAGCGTTTCATCTTAGGGAATATTGGTTGCACTACGTCGATGTGGTGGAGTGTCACCAAAGGAGCTACTGGATGGGCTCCTAATAGCCCCAACAGGTCACCATATACATCGTACTGCAAACGTTCAATCAAGAAGTAATACCAACATTCAGACAGAACACTCTTAATTAAAAGAGAAATGATAATAAAAATTAGGCATGACATTTCGGGTGTCCAGTCGGGTTTGTTCAAGTTCACTCGGGTTTCGGTTCTTCAGGGTATGAAAACTGACACATTCGGATATTCTTAAAATTTGGTTCAAACACGGTTTGAAATTTTTTGGGTACGATTCAGATATAATTACACATTACAAAACCGGTTCAATCTGTTTTAATTTTTAGTTTTGTTCTATATTTGGTTTTAGTTTTTCAAATACATGTTTTCTTGTAATTAGAAAATACACATTCTAGTTTATTAACTTAACAAATGCAAAGGATTTCACTAAAATGATTCAGAAATAGTAGTTAAGAGTCGAAAAAACATAAATAAATTCTAAACTGTAGACTAATAACTTTATAAAAGTAAGAAACATTTTTCAAAATAAATAATCGTTATTTAAATTTTAGATATAAATTTATCATAGTTGAACTTCAAATGCAAATATCAAAACTAAAAAAAAATTAAAACTCGATCAAATACTAATAATATATATTCAATTAAATATTTAAATTAATTATTTATATAATAGTAATTAGATACTAGGATTTGGTATGAGTTTATTTTGAATTTTGAATTTTTGGGATTTTTCAGAGATTTATTCGGATTTAGTTCAGATAAAATTAATAACTCAAAATACCATAGAACAAAACCTTCAATTTTGTTCTGTTTATTTTTATGGGGTCGAGGTTTGAGTTTTCGGATTAGGAGTCTGATTGGTGTATGGGCTTTGTGGTTGTGTAAAGCCACTAAAGCCAAATATCTGCCAATCACTTTTTTTAGGCTTTAGAGATTTGTAAAGCCATTAAAGCCCACTTTTTAAAAAAACTGTTTTTTTGTTCATTTTTTTTCTACAGCCACTTTTTGAGACTTTACAACACACTCTTTTTTTGTTGCTATGATAAAAAAACGTGATTTATTTTTATTTTTGACTTTTTGTTCATTTCTTACTAAAATAAAAGAAATAATAAGCATAATGATTAATAAATTCATTTTTATTAGTTAGTTTAAGTTTTACCACCAATAAAAAGTCACATCTTACTATTAATAGACTATTAATTTGTTGAAGACTAAAAATAATAAATAATTGAAAACATCTAGGATAGATTCAAAAAGTATAATAACTGAAAGAAAAATAAATACAATGATATATAAATTCATTTTCATTAGTTAGTTACATTTTACCATCAAGAAAAAATCATACCTTACTATTAATAGACTATTAATTTGTTAAAGACTAAATTTTTTTGTATAAATAATTGAAAACATTTAGGAAAGATTCAAAAAATATAATAATTGAAAGAAAAAATAAATACAATGATTTATAAATTCATTTTCATTAGTTAAATTAGGTTTTACCATCAAGAAAAAATCATACTTTACTATTAATAGATTATTAATCTGTTAAAAACTAAAAATATTGTATAAATAATTGAAAACATTTACGAAACACTCAAAAAGTATAATAAGTGAAAGAATAAATAAATACAATGATTTCTAAATTCATTTTCATTAGTTAGATTAGGTTTTACCATTGAGAAAAAAAGTAATACTTTACTATTAATAGATTATTAATCTGTTAAAAACTAAAAATATTGTATAAATAATTGAAAACATTTACGAAAGATTCAAAAAGTATAATAAGTGAAAGAAAAAATAAATATATATGATTTCTGTATTCATTTTCATTAGTTAGATTAGGTTTTACCATTAAGAAAAAGTCATAATTTACTATTAATAGATTATTAATCTGTTAGAACTAAAAATATTGTATAAATAATTAAAACATTTACGAAGGATCCAAACGATAAATGAAGAAGAACTTCCAAATACGATGGACCAAGATCTCAGTTCAAGACAATATATGGAAGGTGTTCGAGATGAGATTGCAAACAGCATATGGGCTAGAACCCGTTAATTTTTTAATATTTTTTTGTTTTATTTAATAAATTGTAATTTTATTTTAAATTTTATTTTGAATAATTTTTATTTATTTAATAAATTATTATCTTATTTTAAGTTTAATAAAATAATTTTGTTGATTACAATTTCAAATTTTTACAATAAAGAAATAAAATATATTGTTGATAAATTTGATTGATTTTCTGTTTTTAAGCTACCCAATATATTTTATAAACTTTTATAAATAAAAAATAGGTAATACATTTTGAAAAATGAATTATAAACATATATTTATAACAGTCACAGCTTCTAAAACTTTGAGTACCAATCATGCTTTTAACTTTCTCTAAAGTAACAGTTACAGCCTTTAAAGCCAAAATCTCTATAGCCACAATTTTAAAGTCAAAGCCTAAAGGGAAAGTCAATACCAATCGGACCCTAGGTTTATTTTACCACCCGAATAAAAATCTAACCTGGTGGAAGCCAGGCTCTTTGGTTAGGGGTACGCCAAGTTCAGTCATACAAGCTTGGATGCGATCATCACTGCCGTAAAGACCAGGGTACCGTTGGATACAACGGTCCTGCATTTTCGAAAGCTCAACAGCTAAAGCGTAGCTAATGGCAAAGCCACCGCCACCAAACGCCATGGAGTATGAGAAGAAGATGTTCTGAACGTGAGCCTCTGATGAGCTACCAACGTAGTAGAACTGAGTGTGGTCATACTTTGAGAGGACATTAACCACATTGTCCACCACAAACACCGTATCATCATCACCCATCACAAACCACCGTACTCCTTTTAATCCTAACCTTAGCGTCTCCGTCACTACCCTTGATATCCTCACTGCTGATCTGTCTCCCACCGGATGCGTGTACCTAAAGCAACACCAAAAAAATTTGAAATTAGGTTTTCTTGTTATACACGTTATGGGTTATAGTGTAAGAGTGAGGAAGCACCGGAAACGTGAGGTGTCTTGTGAGATTCTGATCTGAGGGAGAGGTTCGTTACGGTAAGTACGGACTCTCTTGTCGATCCAGACAACGCCACGTGTCTTACCAGGTCGCCACCATGATTTGATGTACTCTTTCCTCGTCTCCCACAGAACAGAAGACGCGGCGATACCGAACACGACGTGATCAAGTGTTGTGTTGAACATCCTTGGTCGACGAGGGTAAAGAGAAGGTACACGTGGAGGGACATCGTCGTCTACTTCTTCTTCTTGCTCCTCAAGGACAACGGAGGAGGAGTTTGTTTGGTCTTTGATGGACAAGTGAGGATAAGTGGGGCTGCACGTCTTGCGTCCTCCTCCTCCCGTGGTGGAGATGAGAATTAAAGGGAGGAAGAAGAGGAACATGAAAAGCCATGGTAGTGGAGATCTGAGGAAAGAGACACGGGAAGTGTTCTTGGGTTTGTCGTGATGATGATGTTCTTCTAGAAGTCTGTTTTTAGGGTTGCTTAGATTGGTGTTGGAGCTTGAGCTGTTTCCCATGGCGAATTGTTTATTCAATTCAAATCAGATTTTTTTGTTACATCACTTATTTAAATGGAAACGAAGCTAAGTATAGCAAAAGAGAAATGGTCTTCCCGAATATTACTGCAAGTGCTTGACTATGTGTGTTCTCAATATTAAACAAAAAATCTCAATACAATCACAAAAGCAAAACGACAGTGTAGCAGCAACATAGTGATTTGTCACCTTCCATATCAATGCCTCGTCTGCGAACAAAAACAATGAACAAGACTTTGTTAAACTCATTAGAGACAAAACTAATAAGTAAAAAAGAATGAGTTACCTTTCTTCTCTTGGATTTTCCCCCACTTCTACGGCCACTACCACCAAAACTTGATGATTTTTCACCATCTTCATCCAAAAACTTGAACTCGTCGTCAAAACTCTCAGCAAGTCCATGCAACCTGGTCCAGTTAAACATGGTTAGATTAATCAAAATATCACATTTCAGTTAAAAAAAAACAAACGTGTACCCATTGCGTGACTTCAAGCGCTTCTCTCTCTTCTTATCCTCCTTAGTACGAGGAGCCCTGACAAAGAGTTCTTCTTCTACCGCTTGTTGCCTTTCATATCGTGCCATGAACTTTCTCTGTTCCTTGCTCTCAGCCCCATAAGTGTCTATGATCTGTTTATATTATTATTCACACAATCATTTAGCTACAACATCAAATTAAATCCGCTACTCATTTCAAATGCAAAAGTACAAATTCATTCCAACCCACCTCTTCAGGCCGGCCCTCGAGGTCGTCCAACACATCTTTCATGTATGTATTTTCAGTGGCTTGTCTTAAGAAATGTTTCTCTTTTCTTGCAGCATCTCTTTCCTGTTTTGACGTCTTGTCATCCATAGACATAGGAGCAAACTTAGGAGGCCTATAAACGTTATCCTACAATTTACATACGACAAAACCGTTAATAATTAAAAAATAAACATACAACATATTTCTTCAGAAGTGTAAGTGGATGATAATAAGGCTTACCTCTGGTTCATCCACCATTTTATCAGCAAGCAACTCTGGCTTGGGCTTATAATTAGAAACATCTTCAGATTTTTGGGCTTCCTTTCCCTCAGAGAGGGTTTGTTCAGCCACAGACACTCCGGCAGTGGTGAGCTTCTGGATTTGGTACTGAAGTTTTTTGTCTATGGGACGAATCTAATTCAAAAGAAGGAAAAAACCAAGATAACTGATTAACTCTATGATCTTGTTGACAGGAATAAAGTAGGCAAAAAAGAGAAGGCAAACCTTTTCTAGAAACATTCGTATCTCTACAAGGCTCCTTACAACAGGATGGCCATCAATAGAGTATCCTTTTGCCTTCCTTAGTAGATAATAGACGAGACACTGGCAATAACTTAGAAGTAACAGATGCTTCGCCTCGAGATAACTCATCCCATCCGCTGTCGGATAACTGTTTGATTTTACCTATAATTTGCAACAAATAAAACAAGAAAATCAGGATGTCGTGAAAGGAAGGAAACATTTTGATTTTATAACATTAAAGCTATCTACTCTTCTTATACCAAATTGAAACTACTCATCATAGACGTACAAAAAATCGATGTCAAGAGATTAGAATCCAATAAAGTTATATGATGCTGTAGCATAAGACTTGGTACCTTTGCAGTGAGTGCCTCAACTTTGCTCCTAACCACATCTAGGCCTTCCTTCATTTCTCTCAGCACTGTTGCTAGCTGTGGAGCTTCTCTGAGACACGTCAAATTAACAAAACGAGACCAGTAAAAACCGTGAAGCATATCATATCTAAACAGAAAAGAACATTGTTTGTTTTGTATGAGAACTATGGTGTGATTCGTTGCTTATTTAATCTTTATCTTCTGGGAAGAACAAAGACTATTCGTTGTGATACTTTACTAGGGAGCGAGCATAGCTCACCTTTTTATTGTTTCGACAAGTCCCGTTTTTTTAATTTCCTCCATGATCCTTGTTCAGAAATAGCCAGATGATGACACTGCGAATAAACAAAAAATTAACCTAAATGTTCAGAAGAAGATAGTCCTTGGAAACAAAACCTACCAATGGGTGTGAACAAAAACACTTAAATTCTAGCAGACAAAGATTTGGCTAAGAACAAAAGTGTTGCAGTTATCTTTCAAGGCATACACAAACATCCAACAACGTTTGCATCTCTTTATTGATTCAAAGTAAACCAAAGAGTATGTAATAAATTAAATAAAAGCTCAAGCTAGTTCTTTAGTCCTTTGTCTATTACTTTACTAGTTGCTAGAACTCAAATTCTAATCCAAGCTGATGAAAATTTCGCAACTCTATCCCTGACCACGATTTAACTGACCCCAGTGCCATAGGAAGGGGTGGTTGTCGACACAACAAGAGCAAATTTCACAGAGAGGAAGAGACAAGAAGAGGTAAAGAACTCACCGGAAATATAGAGGTTGACGGAGGCGGTCACGGCTGCTGAAGGGCGACGCGAGAAAAGTGACGGCCACACAGCGAAGGAAAAATCAATACAAAACCCTCTCTTCCGGAAAAAGGGTTTATGTAAGCTGTTGCAAGATCCTCTTTTTCTGAATATTTAGGGCCCAATACAAAAATTAAAGTAATATATAGGCTTATTATGAGCCCAACTCACATCTTTAAGAGCCCATTAGAGCGTCTAATTTTATTAACCATTTTGATTAACCTCGCCGATGTTGTATGTTTAGAGCCACGGGAATATATAACGACTGTAATTTTAGACAAGTAAATGAATGTGCAACAATGGATGAAAATAAATTTTCACTTGCTCTCTTATTAATGTGGATTATGCTCCAAGACAGTAGCTCTGAATCAACTAACCAACATGTGTACTCCTGAAATAAACACCAATGGTTTTACAGAAACGTACGTGCATAATAGCTACCCAACAAACGTTTTTTACTACCAGACACAACACTCACAATCATTGGACCAAGACCCCAAACACTGACTCTAATCGGTTGCGAAAAGAAGCACAAGGGGAAGATGATCACATAGCATTGACCATTCTCTTCATCTCGGCAGATCTTCTGGGATCCGGTTCTTCAATTGCTCTTTCTGTCAGCACATGCTTTATCCGGCACATTGATCTTCTCACCTATATATTCACATGCATATAAAACTGATCAACAAAAGAGAAATACACAACCATTTTTCTTTAAGAAAGAAAAGATTCATATTTACTATTTTAAAACATTCATCAATGTATTAGCAACTCAACTGGAACTGAGGGTTAACTGTTACCTTTGGAATGCGTTCAGGGTTAGGGAACATCATGTTCTGAGCTTGAAGCATCTGACGCTGAGTCATCAACATATTCTTCTCTTTCAAAAGAACGTACCACAGCTTCTGAAGATCATCCCATGACTTGAGCCGCAGTTCCGAAGCTTTCCAACCTCGACCTAACACACCAACAAAAAACAAAAAAAAAATCCTTAATTTCTACCACATTCCAAACTTAGTAGAAACATATCACATTTGCTAATTTCGTAGCACAAACAAACATTCATCAATTCACTAAGAGTAAAGTCACCCAAAAAGACATGGGAACAAACCGTAGACAACAGGTTTGTCTTCGTCTTGGCTTCTATCGAACTCAAAGAACTCTTCGAGAGGGTTTTTGGCAGTCCTAACAGTCGACGCAGCTGCTGCAGTAGTAGTGGACTCCGATCTCGCGGATGCTACTGCCAAGAATCTCCTCCCGATAAATCTCGTGAGAAACATTGTAACAACAGCTCGTGGTTATATAATCAGACCTATCAAAGATCATCATAAACGATCAGATTGGTTATAAACCATAAATTACTAATAAAGTGACGAAAAAAATTTAACACAAGGGACGTTAGTCACAACAAAACGGAGTTAAGAGGAGAGGGAATAAGAACTCACCGGAGATAGAAACACAGGATGCGATTGACGGCGACGAACACGGCCACTGAGAAAAATGGAAACCAATCAAAAACCCTTGAGGGTACAGGTTTACGGAGATGGAGGCCCAGTAAGAATTTTGGGTAACTCATGAGCCTATACAGGCCCAATAATGATTGCCACTTTTGTTATTTCTTTATTTGGAAAAATCCACGTCATCGATCCGTTTATTACTACCAACGATGTATAAGCCGTCAGATCAAGTAATCGACGGATGTAAATAAAAGCACGCGGATCGTCTCTGATTATATAACTAGACGATTCACCGGTTATGTTAATATCGCCAATCTCATTTACAAATTCTCTTCAGATTTTTGGAGTCGCTACAGAAATTTGTGAGGAGAGATGTCAGGAAGAGGAAAGGGAGGAGCGAAGAGGCATAGGAAGGTGCTTAGGGATAACAGCCAAGGTATCACCAAGCCTAGTATTCGTCGTCTTGCTCGTAGAGGTGGTGTCAAGTGTATTAGCGGTTTGATTTACGAAGAGACAAGAGGAGTTCTCAAGATCTTCCTCGAGAATGTTATCCGTGACGCTGTTACCTACACCGAGCATGCTAGGAGGAAGACTGTTACCGCTATGGATGTGGTTTATGCCTTGAAGAGGCAAGGACGCACTCTCTACGGTTTCGGCGGTTAAATCGGCGGCGATTGATGGGATTAGGGTTTCGAAGTTTGGGGAATTTATTGTTCTGTAATCTGCGTTATCAACTTTATTAGTAAAAGTAAATCCTGGTTTTAGTTATTGTTGGTTCTTCATTGTCCAAATATTGTAAGCTTAGCTTTTAACTGAAAAAATCTTTTATGAAAACTTAGACTCAACAATATGAATTCTACAATGGTTTGGTACTTATCCAAATTCATGTACGGACTCTATAAAACAAAATTATCTCCTCTCTTTGGCGTTGGTTTATCATTTGTTATGAAATAACCATGGGATATGCAACACCTTTTCAAGTTTCTTTAGCTAACAAGTCTTGAATCATTGTAAAGAGCATCTATATATCTGAGTTGATTTCAATACTACTCCAAGATGAAAATTTGCAACTAAATAAACTATTATGATCTGTGTTTAACCCAAACCAAATCACCCGTCCAAGCATTCCAAGGACTAACCAATTTGTTCTACTATTAGTTTACACAAGTAGAAAAAAAAAACAGCACTACAATCTTGGATGATGCTGAAACATACATCTTTCAATTTCGAGCTTTGTGTTGAAAACACACATGTCTATGAAACAAATGAGTAGCATGTTTTATCAAATGAAGTAACAAACAACGCTGAGATAAATAACAAAGTGATTTTTTTTTGCAGCTAAAAACTAGTCTAATAAAGTAATAATCATTCTTTAGTTAATTTCTTCTTACTCCGTCTTTTGCTTAGCGGATGGAGCGCGAGTTGAGTAGCGGTATCCACTTGTCAACCTTCCAACAAACTTGAGAACTTCATCTATTAAAATCACCGGAAGCGACACAGCCAACACCAACAGCCACTCGTTCAAGTTCAACGGCACTATCCCAAACACTTGAGCCATGAATGGCACGTAGAATATCACAAAGTGCAGTCCAAATGAGACCGCCATTGCAAGGAGTAGCCATGGGTTCACCCACGGTGGCATCGTCACAAGGCTGCCGTCTTCTGAGAGTGCGTTCAGGGAGTTGAACATTTCTATGGCCACCAACACGGAGAGGGAGAGTGTTGATGCTTTGATTTTCCCCTGATGGAAATACTCGCAGGGGTTTGAGTCGAAGGAGAATGTCTGAGAGCCAGCTGTGAAAGGAGAGACTTTGAAGCCTTCCCATGAAGAGCATTGGCCCCAATTAGCTAGCTGTGAATAGCTCATTAGGCTGTGACCGTCTTGGCTCAAGTCTATGCCCATGAAGCTGCTGTGTGTGTACCATATGATGAATACTCCCACTGTTGCTACTCCCACATACATACCAATCACCTATAGGTAGGGTATCCATTTTCAGTCTAGAGTTAGAAAATGCCCCAGAAAATGAACAAATTGTTTGGTTCTTGCATACCATATATCGGAAGAGGATCCAGGGAGTGATAAGTGAGTCATCACTTCTGCGAGGAGGCTTCTTCATGATATCCTTGTCAGGAGGATTGAATCCTAAAGCTGTGGCTGGAGGACCGTCTGTTACGAGATTCACCCACAGAAGCTGAACTGGGATCATGCCTTCTGGGATTCCAAGAGCAGCTGTCAAGAATATTGATGCAACCTCACCAATGTTTGAAGATATCATGTACCTTTTATTCATCATAGTCAGATTAATTTGATCAATATATGTTACAACGAAGAGGTATATATATAAAAATTCAATAATAGAAGACTCACCTGATGAAAGCCTTCATGTTGTTATAGATGGATCTGCCTTCACCAACAGCTGCAACGATAGTGCTGAAATTATCATCTGCTAAAACCATGTCAGATGCCTCCTTTGCTACCTGCAAACATAACCCCAAAGCTTTAGAAAATCTGACAGAACCAAAATCATTTTGTTCTTGCAGATGAGAGGATATAGTCATATACCTCTGTGCCAGAAATGCCCATAGCAACACCAATATCAACCAACTTTAGTGCATGAGCATCATTGACTCCATCTCCAGTCATGGCAACCACTTTCCCATCTTCTTTGAGTAACCTAACAATCTCTTGTTTGTGCTTTGGTTCAGCCCTCGAGAACAAGAGCCCTCCAATTTGTCTCAGATGATTCTTCTGATCTTGAACATCCATAAATTCTTTTCCAGTCAAGCTTCTTGTAGAGATATCTTCGTCTGCTTCAAATACTCCAATCTCACGGCAGATTGCTTCAGCGGTGCTCTTGTTGTCTCCGGTAATGACCATGACTCGGATAACTGCTGTTCTGCAGTCTGCAATGGCTTGACGCACCTCTTTCCTCGGAGGATCCTTTAAACATTAAAAACTCAGAGCATGAATAATCACCAACGAGAACAAGAAAGAATAAAAGAATATAATGGTGATCGCAACTCACCCTTAAACCAAAAAATCAAACAAATGTTAGATTGGATTCAATAGAAGAATAGTTAGATGGGTTGAGAAGTTCCTGGTGAGCAGGATGGTGTTCGCTGCCATCATAAGTGGCAAAATCTGATGGAACATCCGCATATGCAAATCCGAGACATCTTAATGCACCCATGGACAGATCATGCAGACTTTGTAAAATAAGATCTCTTAAGTATTGGTCAAGTTCTGGAGTGGAATCATCAAGTAGCTGAATATGTGTACTCCTTTCCAATACATTTTCTACTGCACCTTGCAAAATTTCAAAACATGGTCTCTAAGGTGCTGAAGAAAAGAGGGGACACAAGCAACATAAACATAGATAAACAAAAAGTTATCCAACATGTTATGCCAAATGAAGAAAAACAGACCTTGACAAGTAACAGTTTCCTTCCTGAGCTGAAATCTACCATAACTCCCATTGATTTCCGGTCCCGGTCGAACTCAAGAGTGGCAAGGCGTTGCTCTAGTTCACTCCATAGCCGACAACAACCTTCAATGATGTTAAGAAACGTAAAAACAATAGCTATTGCATCTGTAACACTGAGGAAAACATGAGAAACAAATGTAACTACGAATACATACGTAAGACATCACCATCAGCCAAAGTCGACGCTTTAGTGGATCCTTCGGGAAATCCCATTTTCTCACCCAAAACCTGCTCAATGAAACAAAAGCCAATAGAAAAAATGGCAGATTAACACTTGATAACTCGTTAAGAAGAGATAGTGTAGTAGACCGCTTTACCTTTAAAGCTGCCTCAGTAGGCATCCCCCTAGTAACAAACTGATTGTCAGATTTCTCCACATTAGCATCGTTGCATATGGCAGCAATTTTCGCAATCATCTGAAGATTTGCATCCATCCGACCCGCTGGCCAGTCTTCAATCTTTCCATCTCGTGGATCAAATGAGGTCCCCTCAACACTGAAAGAGCGAAGGGTTCCAATTCTAGACCCCATAGCAACAAGCTTTGAAACAGCCATCTGATTGGTTGTCAGAGTTCCAGTTTTATCAGAACATATAAATGTTGTGCATCCAAGAGTCTCCACACTGGGCAACTTCCTAACCAGAGCGTTCTTCTGAGCCATCTTCCGCGTCCCAAGAGCCAAACATGTGGTAATAACAGCTGGCAGACCTTCCGGAATCGCAGCAACCGCTAATGCCACAGTAATCTCAAAGTAATATGTGCACTTCTCAAAGGAGAACTTGAAGTTTTTGGGCCAGCCATCAACATACTCCCAGGAGAGAAAGTACTTGACATTGATGAGCCACACTAACGCACAAATCAACCCAATGATCATAGTCAGAGCTTCTCCAAACTCGTTAAGCTTCTTCTTCAAAGGAGTATCTTCCTCATGTTGTGCAGCTTCCTGAATCTGTGAATGTACCCTCCCAATCTCAGTACTCATTCCAGTATCTGTAACCAAGCATATACAGTTCCCATTCACCACAGTGGTTCCTGCAAACACCATACATTTCTTCCCTTGAATATCAGCATTCTCCTCCACAGGCTTAGTAGTCTTACTAACCGCCTCACTCTCCCCTGTCAAAGACCCCTGCTCAATTCTCAGCGTGGAACTAATCAAAGCCACCACACGCATATCAGCGGGGACCTTATCACCAACCCTGAGCTCCACAATATCACCAGGAACAAGCTCCTTAGCCGGCAAACTAGATATCTTATTCCCATCGCGCATAACAGTAGCTTTCTGAGACTTAATCTCCTTCAAAGCTTCCAACGCCTTCTCGGCATTAGTCTCTTGCCAGATCCCAACAATCGCATTAACAATCAATATCAAGAAATTCACAAGCGGCTCAACAAACGCTGTGATCCCCATCTCACCTCCTTCCTCTCCATCAACGAAGGCTAACACAAATGAAATAACAGCAGCCGCCAAAAGAATACAAACCAACGTATCATTGAACTGCTCCAATATCAATTTAAAAATAGATTTCCCCTCAGGCTTCTCTAACTCGTTTAAGCCATAGATCTGGTGACGCTTCAACACCTCTTCAGTAGTTAACCCTTTCTCACAACTAACACCGAACTTCTCTTCACATTCTCTATCGTCTTTAGCCCAAGCATGAAAAGTATCTGACTTTACCGATTCAGAGCCATTAGTTTGCTTATTCACCAAGTCTTCACCTCCTTTCCCCATTATCCTTCCACTAACCAAAGAGATAAAAACTATTCAGTTCACAAAAATATAAGGTAAGAAAAATCTAACTGCAAGCTTCAATTCAAGACTAGTAAAGGATCAGACAGAACATACAAGCATGTAATATAAAATGAGAAGAAGAACACAGACAACGAGATCTCAGACACTCACCAGAACCAGAGCAGACAAAGAACTCCGTACTGTTTCCTTCGATGCTGAAATCGTACGCCTCCTCTCTCTCTCTCTCTCTCTCTCTCTCTCTCTCTCTCTCTCTCTCTCTCTCTCTCTCTCTTGTCTCCAGAGACTTCTCTTCTAGTTCTATGGAAGCATGTTCAACATATCAATCACAGATTTGTTTATTTATATTCTTACTAGAGTTTTTAATGGCTTGTATCTTTCCAGGAAAGTGACGCCTGACGGTAACACGATCTGCGTAAGATAATTTACGATGAAGTCCTTGTATTTTCTTTGTATTCGTGGAGTATTTGTTATTCATGCGTTACTTAAGGGGCTGAAAGTGTAAATTGTATGGCTTTCGAGGGATGTTATGTTGATTTTAATAAAGTTTTCTTAGTGTTAGAGATATTCATTAAATGTAATGCGAATATTTGCTTTAAGGGGAGCAATAAAGATTCCAAACGTCGATGGGCCGGTTGGAGTCTTCCACGTCACGTGGCCACGTCGATCACGTGGGACGGGCACTGCCACGCCTATTTGCACACGTGGTGAGATATTATTGGTGGAAATGAATGTTAACAAGTTGCTTTTCAAATTGGAAAAAGAAGAAATCGTCTTCAAGATCTGCAAGTTGAAATTTGAATGACAAAATACTACTAGCTAAAGTAAACTATATATTAATACCGAATATATATAGGAAATAATCTTTTTTATTTAATGTTCCACATTTATTTTAATTAGATTGATCTTTTTTGTTTTAGTAAAATATTTGGGTTTTTTTTTGTTATTATTATCACACGCCTAGTTTGCCATAGTGGGTGAAGTGGGTTCATTCAAGAAATAAGTACTTTCATTTTTGAGCTCAAATGCCAAAATATTTATAAGTGGCCCTCAGCCCACCGTAGATAAAATGTTTTTTTTTTCTCTTAAAAAAATATTCGTGTTGCCTTCCCTTTGTTTTTTCATTAGTTGAAAATGTACGTCAATTTTTATTTCATTCGTTTGCGTTATTTTTCTTTCATAAATCCCCCTATACATTAAAAGAGAAGTCACTTTAGTGATTTTTCGACACGTGGCACTCATAGATGACTTATAGGATTAATTATCTTAATCTTATTGGTTGATTTTTTTTTTAATTTTTTTTTCTATTTTTTAATTCAGCGCAAAGAGTAATTTGATAACAAAACTATCGATGTTTTCAAACACTCCAAATTTGTTAATTCCTTTTAATGACTTACCTTATTTTAATAATACATACGTTGCACAAGTTGTAACTTTCTTTAATCTATTCTAATTAATTTTTAAATTTATCAAATATAATAATTCATATTAAATGTCTTACCTTATTTAAAAACTACATTACTTGCACAATAATGAAATTAAGCCAAGAATATTAATTGGTTGATCACTAATAATTTACTAACCTTACTAATAATTAATACATGTATTAAAAATTTTCCTTATTAGATATTACTTGCGCAAGAATATAAATTAATAAAATATGTATTAATAAATTTCCTTATTACAAATACGGAAAACAATTCACTCTTGATATCATATTGATTACATTGTCTAGTGCGATTTATCGATTTGTATCTAACTAGGTTGTTTGTTACTATTAACTTACCTTATTAATATTGAATATACAATTTTTAATATATAGTTTCTATATACAGTTTCTCATATGATTAATCGTATAGAATATATAATATTCTCAATAATTTATTAGAGAATATTCTATTTATTAGCTTATCATGCAAGCTAAATCATTGAGAAACATCCATCAATTTACTATATATAAGACATTCACAGTATGAGAAACGAAGCCACTAAACTTTTTATTCTGAACTTTTTATGTTGATACTGTTTTTGTTATTTTACATCATTAAGCTTTTACATACATATATATATATATATATATATATATATATATATATATATATATATATATATATATATATATTTCATCAGAGCTGACTTTTCTTTTGGTTTATATGCAGATGCCCTATTATAACGATTTCACCACGATGCAGGAAATTGTTTTTATCTTTCTATATGATTTGATCAATCGTAGATCTATTTGAATTCTAATTCTTACTTTTTTTAAATACGTTCATAGGTATTATCTTTCTATTTAATGATTGTTTGTTAGAGCTTAGAAAGAGAAGAATGCTTTCATATGTATTTTATATTGTTTTTTAATTTACAATTTTAGTTTATATGCGCAGATTAGGGCTGGGCATTCGGGGTCCCAATCGGGTTTCGGTTCGAGTTCATTCGGGTTTCGGGTTTTCGGGTTCATAAATTTCAGCCCCATTCGGATATTATAAAAATTCGGGTCGGATTCGGTTCGGAATTAATCGGGTTCGGTTCGGATTTAGTAACATGTCCAAAATCCAGTTGAACCCAAAATAGTTGCGGTTTCGGATACTTATTGGGTTATCGATTCTAAAAATACTAATTTATACTCAATTAAATTCACTATATTTTCAATCTTTTTATTAAATTGTGTATTTAGCTTCTACAAACCGTATTGTTCTGCTTCTAAATAATATTATGAAACTCATCTATCGAAAATATAAGATTTGTCATTGAACTATATGTGACAACACTAAACATATCATGATTAATGATAAACCAAAGTCTTGTATGAACGAAAATAATACATANTAACAACTAACAATTATATAAACGTAAGAAGTAATATTGAAAATTTAAAAACAACATTATTTAAACTTCAAAACAAATTTATTCGTAACTTAACTTCAAATGTAGTGTCAATCATAAACATTAGTAACAGCCAAATAACACTATATATTAGACTAAATATTTGAGTTAATTATTCATATCATAACTAATTATTATAGGTGCTCAATAATATATTAATGTGTTTTGGAAACATATTAAAAATTTAGATTGAGTATGATATAAGTTTTTTTGGAATTTTAAAGTTTCGGGTTCTTTCGGATATCCATTTAAGTTCGGGTTCGGTTCGGATAAAATCCATAACCCGAAATACCGTAAAACAAGATCCATTCAGTATTTATGTCGGGTTCGGATCGGTTCGGATTCCTTTTTATCGGGTCGGGTTCGGTTCGGATTTTTGGATTTCGGTTTTTTTGCCCAGCCCTAGCGCAGATCAACGATTATGACGTTTCCTCCTGTGGATCCATATGTACTTAAATCTCTCTTCACATTCATGTTATTTAGAGACATGAACATTACAAATGATCAGATCATCCAAAACACGTAAACTACAATGTAAGTTTCATGCTTTGTTACTTTCTCTATGTTTTTCAAATAATTATTTGCTTATACACTAAAGAAAAAAATCTTTAATCAATATTTTATTATAAAAGTTAGTATAACTTTTTTATACATTTTATTTGTACTCAAATATGATTTTATACAATTTATCATATTATAAAATGTATATCCTATAAATCCATATATGTAAACTATATATTTCTTTTTTGTTATCTTTTTTTTTTGTCATCATAAACTATATAGTTCTATGTCAATTATAATATAACTTTATAAAATTTATCACATAATAAATTATGTATATAATTCAGAGTTAGAATATGATATGTGTAACATTTTGTATATATTTCTAATACTAATGTTAGAATTAAATCGGTTAAATAAAAATTTCTATATTAAATATAAGTGATAAAACATAATTATTATATATTTCTATAGATTTACAATATATCAAAATCAAAACTATTTATTATTCTTTAATTTTATAACCATATTATGGTATTAGGAAAGATATACCTTGTTGGTAAAGGCTTTTAATTAGTTAATTCGTTATTAATAACTTGCCTTATTTTATTATCAATTACTTGCGCAAGTTGATACGATGATTACTTTATTTTGCCATTAGTTACTTGTCTTAAATGATATGTTAACTATTGCAAATTTATGACAATCATTTTTTAATATATTTCTTTAATTGCTTTATGTTTATTAAAAGTAAACAAATATTACAAGAACCATAAGACTTTATATATCTTAAGAAATGTCTTTACAAGAACTTTTATAACAAATATTTCAGGAACCGTAAGACTTAATGATAAAATATGATTATTAATTCATAATTATTTTTAAAATTTGATATATTCTGAATTTGTTTTATATATAATTCTAAACGAAATAATCTTTTTAGAAAGTATTTTTTTAAATATACATTTAATTGAAAAAATTTAAAAGTTAAATTTTCGTGAAAATATATGTCTATTAAGTAAATTTCTTGTTCTTTTATGATGTCATTTATTAGTAACTATATACATTTGATATTGCATTAAATGTGTATGTTCTTTATTTCCTAATTAGTTAATTCGGAAATATGATGATTACCTTATTTTGCTATCAATTACTTGCACAAATTTATATGATAATAGTGATTTTAGTTAGAAAAACCCAAAACTATTATCCATTTAGAAAACCACAAATATAATGGTGATTTGAGATTTAGAAAAGCCAAAACTATTATCTTTATTATATTTATATATATATATATATATATATATATATATATATATGGATCTTAAAAATGTAATTTACTATATATATACATTTGTTTGTTTTTCTATTAACAGATAAATAACACAGATGAAAGACCGTTTGTAGTTGACTTCAAACCATTTTTCAGTTTGTTTCAATAGTGATATGCAAATTCAATATTATTTTCGTCTCGATAAAATTTAGAAATCTATTAAATTATTTTATATTGTACAATTACAAAAAAATGACAATTTTTGCAGGTTTCTATGGGATTTTTTTAATTCATAATTGTTCTTCTTATTTTATATTACTTA